CTAGTGAGAAAGTCTCCAAAAAAAAAAAAAGAAAATCACATTTAATTTTTTTTTTTGTTCAGTTTTATTGCGAACTTGACAATAAAAACCTATTTTAGTACATTCTTTGTTAGTTGGACATTGGGTTTGATATTTCACTAATAGGCTAACACGACTGTATTTTCCTCTCCCCCTCTTCCCTTCAGCTCTTGGCTGGTCTTCGTTTCAGTGTGCACCAGCAATCAGAGATGGACACTTCTGTGAAATTTGATTTACAAATCCAAAGGTATGAAAACAACTTGTGTTAGAATATAACTACTGAGGAAGTATTGTTTGTTAGACATATGTTGTGTAATGTACTTTAAATGTTGTAGAATTGTGCAGATTAAAATCATAGTACTTGATTACAGGCCCTCCTCCCTTAACTACTGAGTTTTGTGCCTTCAAATAGGTCATTAAGCAAATTAGTTAGTAAGTGAGGAGCATAGAGGCAGGTATCTTGCGGTGTTCATGGTGCCGTAGGGATACATAGTTTTCAGTAGATATGTAGCTCCACACTAGGATAATGCAATTCTTTTTAAAAAAATATTATTTATTTAATTTTATTATTATTATTATTACTATAGGGCACATGCACTTGCCAGAAAGACAGAGAGAGAGAGAGAGGCAGAAAGAGAAAGCAAGTCTCCAGATTCAGGATTTGAGCCACAGCTGTGTGGGAGTCCAGTGCCCTAACTACCACACCATCTGCTGACCCTGAATAATGTATTGTAATTCTGTTCATACAAAAAACCACACTTCAGATAAAAAGCAGAAAGCAATAAGACACATCATACATAGTAATGTAAATCCAGTGTAATTGTTTTTATTTATTCTGAATACTATTATGGGTACAGAATAAAGTACAAATTTATAAACAAAATATGTAGTCTTGCATGATTGCTAATGCTTTGTGTAGTGAATTAGTATTCAGTAGAATACAACTGCAAAATCAAGACAAAGACTGAGAAAGGCACTGGAGAACTGGTCATTAAGTCCATGTGGTCGTTAAACATGTAGGTTGTTAAGTGAGGAATAGTTATATGGAATTTGAAAAATCAGTATACTAGAGGAATAATTCTGTCAGTTTTTTAAATAATTATTTTATTTAACTTTATTTATTATTATTATTTAATTTGACCAGAGAGAGAGTGAGGAGAGAAAAGTGAGAAATCAAGCCACCAGGTCCAGGACTCTAACCACAGTTGGCCATGTGGAAGTCTACTGATCTTAACTGCCACGCCACCTGCTGGCCCTTACTATCAGTTTTGTCTTTATAAAACCAACTTAACAAGAAAGGAAACTTGATCTTCTCCTTGGAATTAATTCAACTAATTATTTTGATTTATACGTTTTTCATTTTTTTGTTGTTTTGTCGCTATATGAGTTTGATGATTATACTCAATTCGATTCTAAACTTTTTTTTTCTCTTTCAGCTCTAATCTTTTTGACAAAGTAAGCCCAGTTGTATCTTACAAAGTTGACCTTGCTGTTTTAGCTGCTGTCGAGATAAGAGGGTCAGTATGATTACCAAGTTGAGTATCTCATTCTCATGATTGCTTTGAAAAATAATCACTAGACTCTCGTTTCTTTTTTCCTTTTTTCTCTCTTTTTTATATTTTTATTATTATTCATACATTAAATCACTATACATCATTTAGATTGTGAAGAGACTTTACCCAGCATGGTAGACTCCTTAGTCCCAAATGTATAATATCTACTATACATGGTCATGGTAGGCTCCTGTTCCTTTTATATAGTAGATACTATCCATTGGGTGGTTTTATCAGGGGTGTAGCTTCTGTAGAAATAAGGTCTGAGGTGTATTTCAGAATCTCAGATATTTATTTGGTGATCTCTGAAAAGGAACAAGACATGGCAATAACAGCCACAAAAGAATTTCATCGAACTTTTACATAAAATGTCTTACCAATTCACCTGTGACATGTAGATTTAATAAGCAGTTTTGTGTCTGTGTTTGTACACAAGGTTTTTCTTTTAAAATTTGTTTAATTGGGCTTAATTTTATTCATTTGACTACAGAATACTTTTGAAAATGAACTGACTATATCATTTTGATATTCATGGTAGGTTTTCTTTGGTCATTGTTTAGAGTCTCAAGTCCTGATCATATCTTTCTTCCAATTCCAAATTGGGAGCACAAGTTGAACCCTGAGACTGAAGAAGACGTTGGGCCAGTTGTTCAGCACATCTATGAGGTTTGAAGCTGTTGAATTTAACTGAAACCTAGTTAGAGAACCAATAAATCAAGGAATAGCTAAGTTACTTTTTTAAAAAATGTATTTGTAATTTTAGGTAGACTTTGTACAGCTTAAGTATGTACCAGAAATTTCTTTGCATTTTCCTCTTCATAATTTTTTTTGAGATAAATTTTAAGGTTTTTTTGTTTTTTTGTTTGTTTGTTTGGCATATGGTACATGTGCTTGTCAGAGAGAGTCAGAGACAGAGAAGGAAATTAAGAAATCACTCCCTAGCAGGGATGGTGATGTTGTAATCCCTTCCTCTTCATTCTCCTCTTGGGATTTTGGGCATATAAATATATATGTCCTGTCATGTTTTTTTGTTTGTTTGTTTGTTTTTGACAAGTTTTCACTATAGGGCGCATGTGCACGCCAGACAGACGGAGACAGAGAGATAGAAAGCGAGAAATCACCCCCCAGGGGGGATGGCCACGCTGCAGTCCCCTCTCCTCCGTTCTCCTCTTGGGATCTTGGGCACACATGCACATGTGCCCAGCATGAGTTTTAAGCCACCGGGTCCAGGACATGAACCGCAGTCGACTACATGGGAGTCCAGCGACATAGCCATTACACTAACTGCTGGTCCCCTGTCCTGTTTTTCATACCACTGAGCCCAGGACTCAGACTGCTACCAGCCATGTAGGATCTAGTGCCTTAACCACCATGCCATGCCACCTGCTGCCCCATAAAATAATTCTTATCAGACAGACAGCTTTAAATATTTAAGGAAAGCAATTTATATATTAGTAATTGATGTTTAAAACAGTAATTCTATTTCAGTAAAAGAAATAGATTGTTGATTGTTTTAGCATTTGACAGTTCTTATTGAAAACGTAACAGGTAATCAAATTTTTGTTTCTGTAGGAAGAAATTTCTCTGTCATCATTTATCAATAACTTTTTGATTATTTGCCTCTTTTGTTGATCTTGACATATATTACTCTACTCTAGAGAAAAATGTTGAGTGTGATCTTTTTTGCATAATAGTGGTCATGTAATGTCAGAATCTAACTGTGGAATTGCTTTTCCTCAAGTGTTGTTGCTAATGATTTGTAAAGTTGAAATGGGGGAAGGATTATAGAATAGACTTTTGCCCAAAGCATTTACATTTTCTTTTCTAAGCTGAGGAACAATGGGCCAAGTTCATTCAGCAAGGCAATGCTAAATCTTCAGTGGCCTTATAAATATAACAACAACACCTTATTGTACATCCTTCATTATGATATTGATGGGCCAATGAACTGCACTTCAGATATGGAAATCAACCCTTTGAAAATTAAGGTAATGTGCTTAACAGCATTTCTTCATTATAATGAAATTTTATTGCTTTTTTTCTTAACCCATAAAGAAATAAAACTATTTTAATACAAATATTATTTATATTTAATATAAAATATTTTCATTTATATCTAGTACGTGAGGGATTAGATTATTTGTAGAAGAGGTAAGAAATAATTCTTTGAAGTCCTAATGAACCATGTATTTATGGACTGTTTGGTGAGCCTTATGTAATTTTAGAGGACTTAATTTGACCTCAACTCCATTACGTGATGGCTTATCTAATATTTATATACTATTGTATGAAGAATGTTTCGTCATTAGGATTTCTGTCTATGGGATAACATATACCATTTTACTTATGATTGTCTTGACTTATATGTATTTTTGGATATAGTCATCTCTATCCTAGCATGTACATTTTCATAACAAGCTATTGCACAAAATGGTGAAAGGAAGAATAAGGAAACCAATAAAAAGAATACTCATAATTGACATTCATCACAGATGTACTGTGGAGTTTTCAGGCTGTTTCTTTGTACTTACCAGTTTCCACTCTAGGCATGCAAGGGGAAGATAGTAATGGCTTGGTAGAGAAAATTTTTTTCATATATTATAAGGATTCTAATTTTTATTTTTTTCTTTTCTTTTTTTTGTTGTTTCTTTTTTGTTTAAGAGAGATTTTTGCTATAGGGTGTGTGTGCTCGCCAAGAGACAAAGAGACAGAAAGTGAGAAATCACCGCCCAGATGTGGATGGCCATGCTGCAGTCCCTTCTCCTTCATTCTCCTCTTGGGATTTTGGGTACACAAGCACACACACCCAGTGTGCCAGTGTGAGTTTTAAGCTGCTGTGTCTGGGACTTGAATCACGGTCGACTACGTGGGAGTCCAGCAACATAACCATTATGCCATCTGCTGGTCTCCAAGGACTCTTAATTTTTTATTTTAAGGCCTTTTATTATTTTGCACCATACAGTGCATGTGCTCACTAGAGAGAAAAAGAGAGAGAGAGACTGTGAGAGAGAAAATGATAAATTTCCCCTGAGGGGATGGCCACACTCCAATTCCCTCTTCTCCATTGCCCTGGGATTTTGAGCATGAATGCACATATGCCGGCATGAGTTTCGAGCCAACAGGACTGAGACTCAAATCTGCAGTTGGCCATGTGGGAGTACAGCACCTTATCCACCACATCACCTGCTGGCTCCCAGTACTCTAATTTTAATTTCCTATCCTTACCATTTACCTTATATTAAGTGGTGAATTTTCTATCATGTCAAATTTTCATTCAGTGTTTTCTATGGATTTTATAAGTCTATTAAAAATAAGATAAAATAAAAAATGTGAGTCCATGTCAGAATATCAGTGTAAAATGTTTTCCATCATTATTTACCACCTTTTTATTATCGCAATCTTAGATCTCATCTTTGCAGGCAACTGAAAAGAATGACACAGTTGCTGGGCAAGGTGACCGGAACCATCTCATCACTAAGCGGGATCTTACCACCCGTGAAGGAGATGTTCACACTTTGGTAAGTGTCGTTTCAAGTACACATACTGTAAACATTTTTAAATACGTGATTACAGACTGATGCCAAAGAACATTTCAAAAATAACAGCAGCTGTGCCTGAAAGAATCACATATATTTTTATACCATTCTAGCCACTTACTTTCCTTTTTCCTAGTCAAATTAATGAGGACTTCTCTTTAAATGGTTTCTTCGTGCATCACTAATACAAATGTCTTATTTTCCCACTTACTTTTCTCACCTCACTCCTTTAACTGACCTCTTTCTTGGCTTTACTTTACTCTTTGAAGCTTTAGTACAATACTGCAGGAAGAATCCAGACCTCAAAACATATATATGTTAGAATAACTAGTGCCAAGATTAACTTTTGTTGAGTCAGTCTGTGTAGTGGATTAGAATATTTTGAAGCTGGCTTTTCATTTCAGTTTTTGAAAAATAACAGATCTGTAAATCATCATAACCATCACGTAGTAGAGAATCTGGCATTGTGTTTATGTTCAACACTGAACACCAGCTATATTACATCACCAAATTGTGTGATCCTTCTTGGTCCTCATCCAGTTCCACTGCTCGGCTGCTTCTGGCTCCTTAGGCACTTCCTACTTTGTGAATCAGTTCTAGGACACCACTTTCTCCTGGTCCTCCTCTTAGACCACCACGTGCTTTGTGTTAATCTCTGTTTCTGCACATTTGAACTCTGGAATATTCCAGGGCTCAGATCCCTGATATCTCCCCTGCTCTACCTACATTTCTTCATGAAATGTAGACACCAGCCATCTTTCAAGTGTTCAATAGCTACATGAGGATAGTGGCAACCCTGGCAGGTAGTACAGAGAACTCTGTATTGATTATTTCCATTTCATAGAAAGTACCCTTAGACATTGATGAACTAGAGAATCTTATTGACTGTCATGGCTATAAATATCATGAAACTTGGATTAATATTTTTATTCTGATCCTGTACATTGAACCCCAGAATTCAGTATCAAACTACTTAGTTAAACACCTTTTAAATAACAGGAATCTCATAAAAATAAACCCTTGAGGTTTCTTAACTTTGCTCTTTCTACAGTGTTCTACATTTTAGTAATTATCAGTTATGTCCTGTCTAAAAGCTGGACATCATTTGACTCTTCTCATTCTCTCAAATCTCGCATCCTGTATTTCACAATATCAGAATTTGGCCCCTTCTCACCAGCTCTAACACTGTCACAACCTATCCCAGGTCACCTTTCTTTCTCACTTGGATTATTGCCAAATCTTTAGTTGGTCTCTGTATTTCTGTCTTTTTCCCTACTATGGTTTATTTGTTACACAGAAGCCACAATGATCTTTTTAAATATAGGTCAGATTGTGCCATTCCAGGGCTTTCCCATCTAACTCAGAAAGCCAGGGCCTATCCTGTCCTTTCAGCTCAACACAATCTAGGCTCTTGCTACCTTCCTGCCTACATTCCCTCTCCTTACTCACTCTCCACTTTTTCTCTTTCTTGAATAGTGCCTTATGCACATTTGTGCACTTTTTTTGTGAACATATATTTTTCAGTTCTTTTGGGAATAAACCTATGAGTGGAATTGCTGGGTCATATGAAAATTATGTTTAACTTTTTTTTGTTAAGAGAGATTTTTGCTATAGGGTGTATGTGCTTGCCAGAGAGTCAGAGAGAGACAGATAGACAGAAAGTGAGAAATCACCCCCCAGAGGGGATGACCACACCACCATCCCTTCTCCTTCATTCTCCTCTTGGGATCTTGGGCACATATGCACCACCCACCTGGCATGAATTTTAAGCTGCTGGGTCAAGGACTTGAACTACAATCAACTATATGGGAGTCCAGCAACATAAACATTATACCATTTGCTAGTCCCTGTGCTTAACTTTTTGAGTAACTGGCAAACTGTTTCCTAAAGTGGTTATATCATTACAACAAGCAAAGTATGAGACATTCAATTTCTCCACATTCTTGTCAACACTTTTATTATCTATTTTTATATTTCTTAATATATGCTAAATTACATTGGGCAAGTTTTACGGATTTCTTCCCACACAATTAGAAAGTTAGGAAAAAAGTATAAGTGAAGGCATTTTTAAAGACCTTTAAGGTTTACAAATTAGATTAGCACATAATTAACTGGATTAAATTTTTAACCACATTTCCTCCATTTCTCCATCCTGTCATGTCAGGATTTTGGGAACACAGGCACATATGCTCAGCATATTTTTCAAGCAGCCAGGCATGGGATTTGAACTGTGGATAGCCATGTGAGATCCAACTTTCTTAAATTTTTATTTTTTAACTTTTCCAGAGGGCACATGTACTTACTAGAGACAAAGAGAGAGTATCCCCCATGGGAGATGGTCATACTATGATCCCTTTTCCTCCATTTCTCCCTCCCTGTTAGGATTTTGGACACACATACACATGTACTTAACATGTTTTTCAAGCTGCTGGGTCTGGGACTCAAACTGCAGTCAGCCACATGGGATCCTTCTACCTTAACCACACACCACCAGCTGGCCCAGGATCCTGCTTTCTATGTCCCACACTTGACCTTTTTGCTGCCTGTTGTTAGGTTGGGTTTTTTGCTTTTTGTTGTTGAGTTGCAAAGAGTTCTTAGATATTCTGGATATATCTTTATCAGCTATATGATTGTACATATTTTTTCTTATTCTGTGACTTGTATTTTCACTTACTTGTTAGTTTTCTTTGGTATGCAAAAGTTCTAAAATTTGAAGATGCCCCATTTATTTACATCTTGTATTGCCACTTGTACTTTTGTTGTTATATTTGGAAAACTATTGTCTAAACCAAGGTCATGAGGATTTACACCTATGTTTTATAGTTTTCTAAGTTTTACACGTATAGCTCTTACATTTTTATCTCTGATTATTTTGAGTTAGTTTTTTGTGTATGGTGTGAGATAGAGGTCCAGATTCATTCTTTTGCATGTGGCTATCCAGTTGTCTTAGCATTGTTTGTTGAAAATAATTACTTGAATGTCATTTTTTAAATTACATTAAAATTAAATGACTCCTTAAATGACTTGTTGCTATTTGTTGAAAACAAATTGATTTTAGATACATAGGCTTATTCCTGGACTTTCAGTTCTATTTCATTGACCTGTATGTGTATATGTGTATCTTTTATGCTAATACCCAATCGTTTTGATTACTGTAACTCTATGGTAAGTTTTTTTTGTTTGTTTGTTTTTTTTCCGAGAGGTTTTTTTTTTTTTTTTTAGCTATAGGGCACATGCGCTTGCCAGACAGACAGAGACAGAGAGACAGAAAGCGAGAAATCACCCCCAGGAGGGATGGCCACGCCGCAATCCCCTCTCATCCATTCTCCTCTCGGGATCTTGGGCACGCACGCACACGCTCCTGGCTTGAGTTTTAAGCCACCGGGTCCGGGACGCAAACCGTAGTCAACTACATGGGAGTCCAGCGACATAGCCATTACGCTAACTGCTGGTCCCATCTATGGTAAGTTTTTAAAGTGGGAAGTATGGATCATCTAACATTTATTCTTTTTTCAAGATTGTCTTGAGTATTTGGAGTCCCTTGCCATTCCATGAATTTTAGGATCAGCTTGTTCATTTGTGCAAAAGAGACAGTTGGAATTTTGATGGCATTTTTGTTGGATCTGTTGTCAATTTAGGGAATACTGCCCTCTTAACAGTATTCAGTCTTTCAGTTCATGAACATGGGATACATTTATGTACATTTTCTTTAATTTCTTTCAACAATATTTTGTAGGTTTTAGTGTATTTATAATAATTTACAAAATAAGTATAATAAATATAAATTAACCACCTCTTTGGTTAAATTATTTCTATATGTTGTTTTTTTCATACTGTTTTACATGGAATTGTTTTCTTAATTTCCTTTGGGGAGTTTTTATTCCTTGTGTACAGAAATACAACTTGTTTTTGTATATTGATCTTATATTCTACACCTTTTCTTGTTTATTACCTCTAATAGTTTAAAGGTGGATTACATAGTGTTTTCTATAAAGATGATCTTGTCATCTGCAAAGAGGTAGCTTTACTTTGTCTTTTTCAATCTAGATGCCTCTGTTTTTCTTATTTTGCTTACTTGTACTGGCTAAAAACTTCTGTACAATGAATAGAAGTGGTGTGAGTGGGTATTCTTGACCTTTTTCTAACCTTGCAGGTAAAGTATCCAGTGTTACACTATTAAATATGTTAGCTCTAAACTTTTCAAAGAAGCCTTCTATCAGGTTAAGGAAGTTAGTTGAGTTCTGGCCATTAAAATGAATCTTTTAATATTATAACTCTTGTTCTTCTGTACAAATTATATTTAAATTAACTCTTCATAACAAAAAACACTCACAGATTAAATGATTAGCCTGTTTATTGTAAGCATTACTCCAAGAAGAGAAAAGAGATCGTCTCTCTTTAGTCTTAAAAGACCAAAAAGAGTAAATTAAGTGTCTAATTTTCACATGTTGAAGAGATTATTAGAATGGCCTTTTCTTGTACATATATCATTTATTTTGGCAGGGCTGTGGAATTGCTCAATGCTTGAAGATTGTCTGCCAGGTTGGGCGACTATTAGAGGAAAGATGGCAATCCTGTACGTAAAGTCTCTACTGTGGACTGAGACCTTTATGAATGTAAGTAGACAGATGGAGCATTCAGAAAACTAGTTCATTTTTTTTTCAAAGAAATAAAAAAAAAGAAAAAAACTTGACATCTGAGAAATAATCTTGTCGTTATTTCCATTCAGAAGGAAAACCAGAATCATTCATATTCTCTGAAGTCATCTGCTTCATTTAATGTCATTGAGTTTCCTTATAAGAACCTTCCAATTGAGGACATCTTCAACTCCACATTAGTAAGTCATTGATTTGGGAATGGAGTAAACACACTCAGTTCAAATGCCTTAGATGTTTTTGTTTTAAAAAAATTGGCTATTTATATGCCGATAATTTAAAGTAATGAAGAGTTATTTGATGTGATTATGGCCTAGTTTAATATTATTACTTTACTCTTCCACCTAGGAATTACTAAAGCAAACCTTTTACTTTAGTATGTTATGTTATGTAAGAGATTTCTTAATATACGCTAAATTATGTTGGGGAAGTTTTATGAATTTCTTCTCACAAAGTTAGAAAGTTAAAAAATAACTACAAGAAGTGAAAGCATTTTTTAAGATCTTTAAGATTACAAATTAGATTAGCGCATAATTAACTGATTTAAAAATTGTTTCCAGTACAATCAAAAGTTAATGTGTCATTGAGAACTTTATATGTATATGCTTATACTGCTGCTACAAAACATGTAATGACTAAATTCTCCTAAGCAAGAAAAGAACATAGTGTGAATACCATTAAAACTAAGAATCAACAGATGGTGTAATAGTTACGTTGCTGGACTCCCACATAGTTGACCGCAGTTTGAGTCCTGGACTTGGCAGCATGTGCGCATGCATGCCCAAGATCCCAAGAAGAGAATGGAAGAGAAAGGATTGCACTGTGACCACCCCCCATGGGGGGTGATTTGTCACCTTCTCTCTCTCTGTCTCTCTGGCAAATGCCCTGTAGCAAAAATTTCTCTCTAAAAAAAAAATTAAATATAGTAGCCACTCAAATGTTTATTAAATCAGTGAACTCCTTTAAGATGAAAACACTTTTTTCTCCAATAGGTTACCACTAATGTCACCTGGGGCATCCAGCCAGCACCCATGCCTGTGCCTGTGTGGGTGATCATCTTAGCAGTTCTAGCAGGATTACTGTTACTGGCTGTGTTAGTCTTTGTAATGTACAGGGTAAGTAATGGACTTAGAAAGGGAAGAGGAATGGAGAGAGAGAAAGCAGAGAAAAAGGGGGAGGAAGGGAAGAGAAATCTAAATCTGAGAATGCAATTAGAGAAGAAAGAAATGGACCTATACTGGTGATTCACAGTGAGCATTACTTATTATTTAAGGGAAGAGAAACTGAGCTAATTTTTCTTGGTGATAATAATAATAATATAGTCACTTAGAAATACTTTTAGTATTTTGCACTGATGCGACAATGATACTAGATTTTTTTGTTTCAACTGACAGATGGGTTTTTTTAAACGTGTCCGACCACCTCAAGAAGAACAAGAAAGGGAACAGCTTCAACCTCATGAAAATGGTGAAGGAAACTCAGAAACTTAACTGTGATTTTGAAGTTATACTACATCGTGACCCATTAGAATTACCAGTTTCATTATAGATTTAAAGTTCTTACATGAAGAATACAATTTCGAGACTATGGATGGTGCCCATTGAGAACCACAAAATAAGAGCAATATTTGTCAACCTTCTCTTTATAAATAAGTTCAGACATACATTTACTACACATTGAATGACTTGTGTTTTTAGCTATTTAAATACAATTTCAGTGACAGTTCTTATTCAGTGTACATAAGACAGTTAGTACCTGAGCTACTACTTTATATAAAATTGTACCTTCTACAATTACTGTTTCTGATTTAGTATGTTGGGTTTTGCTGTTTGTCATCATCATCGTAAAGCAATCCAGATTTGGGCCTTAACATCTGTGTCATCGGTGCAGATTCTTAATATTATGATGCATTACACTACATTTGACTTTTCAAGCTACTAAAGACTTTCTGAATTTGGATTTTAATGTCATCCATATGCTAGAACTCCTTTTTATAAAATGCATGATACCATCAAAATTCTTTTCTGTAATAGAAAGGGTACACTATTTTGTTTTAATAAAAGAATTGGGTATATGGTATTAACTTTTTATCTATATTTAATCCATAGTCTATTTTATTACGGTTTAACTTGTATAGTGTATGTTCTACATCAAATTCTTTCAGCCAAGCTATACTACACATTACTTTTGTACTAAAGAAATGCCTCTTTCTTGTGATAGTTTAATTTCAACTAAACATCATGATACTAAAAAACCATTAGAATTGGGAATCATTTCTAAAGTACATTTATTTCATTGTTTTAGTATGACTAGTTATACTACAAGAAAAGAAAGCGTTTTCATTAAAAGACTGTGCTTGTAAGTCTTTGACATAGTTGTTTCCTAGTACATTCTTAGAGTAGAGCCGAGTTTTTAGTTAGTATTAATTTATTTTCTTCCTTATATATGTATTTTTCCTTATATTTCCAAAACTGTTACTGACATTGGGTCAAGATCAATGAAAAATCTTTACAACTTACAGAAACTCCCATCCATGAGAAATACTTGGAATGAGACCTATAAAGGGAGCTCACTGACGTATATGTAGCAGCAGCATGACGCGACTCGGATGAATGTTACCTCAGTATAAGCAAAATAATATGTAAAACCAGTCTCAGCCATCAGCATAACTTCTAAAACGATATTTTTAAAATAAACGGTTCAAGTTATTGAAAACCTTTTAAAGCTTTCTTAGGCCTGTGAATATAAATTACTTTTCAAGGATTTTTAATAAAAGCCATGTGGATGATGAGTTATAGTTTTATATGCCTACAGGGTGGTGACTCTTCTGGTGGAGTATGTGATTTAGTCACAGTTCCTCAAGGCCTGAGGATGACTATCAATAATATCTATTTTTATATAATTACATCATGCTGTGCATTAGAAATTGAGAGTTTAATAGCTTTTTAAATGCTGCCCTCATTAGGCAATGATAAATACTTCCTCTAAATAATTGACTATTTTTCTATGTTTTAAAAATAATTGAAATGTCTTTTGCTATGCCTTGTATTACAGTGTCATGCACAAGTTGCTGAACGCATCTTGAGAATATATTCAGAAAATAGAAGCACATTTAGGGTGAGTTACACAAGTTAGAAAGACTCTACAGTTAGCTTTAGTGAATTTTAAAATTAATGGATTTGGGAATATAGATTTTTCCAGCTTGAAAGACCTTACTCATAGGAAATACACATTTTGTTATCAAGGAGCTTACAAGTATTAAGAACAAAACAGATTTGTATCTTATGGCCAAGTGTCACCTGCCACCAAATAGTCACTAAATTGGTCTGTTAGCAACTCTCACCTTACGTATTATCTCACCTGGTCATTCTTCAAATATATGTTAGGCAGAAATGTATAGAAATGTACTCTTTTTTTTTTTTTTGGAGAGATTTTCACTATAGGGCACGTGCGCTCGCCAGACAGACAGAGAGAGACATTAGAGACAGAAAGCGAGAAATCACCCCCCAGGGGGGATGGTCATGCCGCAATCCCTTCTCCTCCATTCTCCTCTCGGGATCTTGGGCATGCACGCACACGCGCCCGGCGTGAGTTTTAAGCCACCGGGTCCGGGACGCGAACCGCGGTCGACTACGTGGGAGTCCAGCGACATAGCCATTACGCTAACTGCTGGTTCCCAAGAAATGTACTCTTTTTAAAAATTTTAAGTATTTGCTTTTGTGCAATCTGTTTTTGGCCTCTTAATCAAGGTGTACTCTTGCATTGGAGATTGAAATATCTGGAAATTAACATGTTTCAAATTGCTTTTATGAAGTGCAATTTAAACAATAGTATAGATTTTCTTTCAAAAATTAAAATTTATACGGAGAAGTATAATTTGAAAGCCTACTATCTGAGGAGAATATTGGGTTTCTCTTTACCCAAAGTAGAGTATGATTGTTTTGATGAGATAAAAACAAAATAACCCTATAAAAATGACTTTAACCTCCAACATTTTAAATATTACCATATTTGTGTTTTATTGAGAATTAAAGTTCATTTTGAAGTATAAAATCCTTATCACCTGATTTAGTTTTTAAAAAGCATATATGAATAAAGACAGAGGATATTAAAAGCATTTGACATTGGTAAGAAATACTGATACTGATTTCTTATGTAGGTATTTATTTCAGAGTTAATGTTTTGAGAAACACTGTGTATCACTTTTTCCTTTTCTTTCCCTTTTATCTCATGATTAATTATTGTAATTCTGATTAAGTTCTTAATGATCCTAAAAGGTAAACAATTAGTCTAAATATTATTGCTGTAATTCTACCTTTGTTTTGAAACTACTTATTCATAGTAAATTCTCATTAACACTTTATATTTATGTAAAGAGAAAATTCAGATATTAGTAAAAGAGACTTGTACTGGCTTCTTTAAAAGCATTGTGAAGGATTTTTGATTGCGAGTCATGACTCTTGAGGGAGTGATTTTTTTATGCAACAAACAAAAGTATGCTATATGATAGATAAACTGGTTTTGGTCAGGCTAACAATTTGTAATTTGGTAGATGGTCTCTGTGTTGCAGAATATAATGATGAGCCTGGTAAAGAGGAATAAGTTTTTCTTGGAATACCTGTGTGTGGCCATTTGCCTGTCTCAGCATCCTCTTGTTTGTATTCTTGGGCCATTTTTATATATGGTGGTTTGATAAATAAGAAAAATGAAAATTAAAAAATTGATTATAGGGTCAACTGAAATTGGATGAAATGACTTAATACTCAGTATTTTGGAGAGTATCCCTTCTAACTAGTTGATTGGCTAGTTTGAACAATGAGCCAATGATGTGCTTGCATTGTGTTGTAATTTCTGATATATACTGAACTTTTAGGGAGAGGTACTAAATCTTTAAATTTTGTTATGTTCTCAAGTGCAATGTAACCAAATCTTGATCATGTCAAAGTTGTCGCTAATTTAGTAAGCCTGATCTAAATAGGGATTTGGCAGTATT